GGTTTAGAATCACCTATAAAACAAGTTTCTGGGTGAGAACAGGGAACATTTCCAGGGAGGTTTGACTAAGGTGGAAAGAGCTAATCTGGATGTTGGTGACACCAATTCCTCCTCTGGGGTCTCACACTGATTGATAATGGAGAGGGCAAGAGGCTGGAGAAATGTCTTCATGGACAAGAACTCTTGCTACATTTGCAGTAGGCTGGGGTTTGATTTCTAGCATCCACATCAGGCAGCTAACAAGCACCTATAATTCCAGTTCCAGGAAATCTAATGCCTTATCTGACTTCTAAGGCACTTAGAAACATATGTAGAGCACATATGTACAAGTAGGAACTCATATATACACATAAATAAAGCTAAATAAATCTTTAAAATGATGATGATAATAATAATAATAATAATAATAACAATAATAATAAATTAGCCCTTTATAAAAGAAGCTGTCTTATGGTTTCCATTTCTATGAAGAGACAGCATGACCAAGCCAACTCTTATAAAGGACAACATTTAATTGGGGCTGGCTTACAGGTTTAGAGTTTCAGCCTATTATCATCATGGCTAGAAGTACAGCTGTGTTGGGGAAGGCATGGTGCTGGAGGAGCTGGGAGTTCTATATCTTGTTCCAAAGGCAAACAGAAGACTGGCTTCCAGGCAGCTAGGAAAAGGGTCTCAAAGCCCACCCCCACAGACACACTTCCTTTAACAAGGCCACACCTACTCCCACAAGCCCGCACCTCATAATAGTGCCTCTCCCTGGGCCAAGCTTATTCAAACCACCACAGAAGGGGACAAGTGGAGTGCTGGTGTTCAGCTCTCTGCTTCTGGGCTGCAGAAGTGATGTGACCAGTCACTTTGCACTCCCACTACCAACGTTGCCACCCCTGAAACCAGCCCAAACCAACTCTTCCCTCCATAAGTTGCTGCTGCCGGGTGTTTTGTGCTAGTGAAGAGGACAGTAACTAACACATGTGTTAAAAAGATGTGGTCATTTGGCAAACACATCTCTGTAGCCACCAGTTTATTTATTTACCCATACATGGTCAACAGTTTGTCTATCGTGTTCTCTCTTTTACTGTGTTAGGTGTACTCACAAGTACATTTTTATGAACGTATGGTGGATAATGTGACGTGACGCGTGCATGTTATGAGAAGCTCATCAGTTAAGTTAGCTAACACGGCCTCTACCTTTGTATTTTGGCTGGTAAGAACATTGAAGACTTACTCGCTTGGCAAATTATTATTTCTCTACTGTGGCTAGCTATGCATTAGATTCCTAGAACTTAGCATCGTATGACTGAAAAACCATTTTACTTCAAAAAAGAAAACAAACAAACCAAGAAGACTCTTGCTGCCACGTGCAGCACTTGTCTGAAAGGTAGTGTGAGAGGGCTATAACGGGAGATGGGCTGAGAGACGGCGTTTCTAGGACATGCTTCCAGCTCAGCTGATCCTCAGTGATGCTCCTAATTCTAACTGCAGGGCCTGTAGGGAGAAGCCCTCTGAATGGTGCTCACCTCCCTGACCTTCTCAGGCCTGGAATGAAGCCAGGAGCATCTTTGGGTCAATGAAGACAGCTTTTGATCTGGGCCAGTCTTAGAATGGGGCAGATGAGGGACTCATAGGAAGGAGGGGTTTGAACATCTCTAATTTCTAGTTCAGTTCACATGGAAATGTGCTATACACACACAGTGAGGTTTATGCAGGATCCTGCACTTGGCCAAGGGGCTGGCAGTGAGAGGTTGTAGAGTTCTTGACCCTAAACAGGACAACTATACCATTCTTCCGCAAATTCTTCCACAGGAATCCATCTTTTTAGGGGTAAAGACTTACCTGGTGTTAAACTGCAATCCTTCCAAGAAGGATAACCCATCTTCTTGTTGCTTTAAAGAGGACTCATTTTTATTGTAAGTGGCAGAAACTTGAAGCAGCTCGAGCATGAAGGAGGCTTTAGTTGGCTCACTAATCTCCACAGACTGGCTGGGAGCAGAGATGGATCATGTGCCAGAACACTCTTATCAGAAATGTTTCTTTCATCTGTCAGCTTCTCTTCCCTTTGAGCTGGCTTCATCTCCAGGGAACAAAGATGGCCTCCAGCAGCACCTGCTCACTTCCAGCCTCAAAGGAGAGGGCAGCTCTTTTTCTCTCACCCCAGCCCAAATCTCAGAATCATTTCTCTTTGGCACATGAGGCATGTGGTGGCCATCCATGGGCCACTCACTGTGATTGATAGATAAAGTTTAAGCTGGTACCAAAGACTGGAGGAAAAAGGGCCAACCTCATCCAAGGACACATTATGGGGGTGAGGACTCAGCAAAGAAATGGAGAAAAGGGCAGTCAGAAAGGCAAAATGGACACCAGTTCACCATGCTCACCATTGTCTACATCATCAACATCCTAGCTATTAGAGCAGTGCCTTCTAGAAGAGGGGGCATAGCAGACATGATAAAGATGTGCCGGCTACAGGTTCCACACTGGGAAGCAGGCGGGGTGAAGGGAGGTTCTTTAGGATCCCTTTAGGAGCTAGGGGAAAGCTCAAGGGTTTTTCAATGTAGGAGCTACTTTTAGAGGTTAGAAGAACTGAAGGCCATGTGGCAGCAAGCGGCGGAGTCTCTCGTGTGTTGAGGAACTGGCATTGCTGTTCTCAAATCATGCTAATGGCCTTCTCTTTACTAATACTGGAAGTGCATCCTTAAGTCAGTCTTTGGTACCAGCTGAAGCTTAAGGATGCATTTCCTCATCAGCATGTAACAGCATGATTGTTGCAGGGGCTCTTAGCCATGCTTTAGGGAGTATGTTGGTGACTAACCAGGACAACTTAGAATAATACTAGGAAGGACAGTTGTCCTGATTGCTGCACTGTTATGATCTCTTTATGTTGTTCCCATTAAGGATGGATAACATGACCAACAAGCAGCTGACCTTTGCCAAGCATTCCATTACAACCCTGAGAGGTCCAGCCTACTCCTCCCATCTGTGGATGAATGCTGGGTGCTCTGGGGGTGGGGGGAGGAGATGCAGTGATTTACCGGCCAGTGGGTGAGATAACCGGTCTGCAGACCAGGTCATAGAACTCCTAGTCATTCATCTCCAACTTCCCTGGCCCAGCTGAGCATCTATCTGCAAGGAAAACTAGAGGAAGGGGGATGGGAGTGAGAATCGTTTTAAGGAGAAATGTTTGAACTGTAGAGCAATTCACAATATGAGATACAGAAAACCCCAGGTATTCCAGACATGGCTGCTGTTGTAAGGGCAAGAAGCTAAAAGACAAGAATGTACTGTCTGCTAATGATGTTGCCACCATGGGCAAGGCAGCGATGGAAGACCAAGAAAATTTGAGAAATGAAATTCCACTGTCCTTGTTAGTTTTATTTTGGCTTGATACCAGCTAGAATCGTCATAGAGGAAGAAACCTGGATTGAGAAAATGCCTCTATAAGATTGGGCTGTGGGCAGCCTGTGGGGCATTGTCTTAATTGATGATTGATGTGTCGTCCCTGGGCTGGTGGTCCTGGGTTCTTTAAGAAAGCAGGCTGAGCAAGCATTGAGGAGCAAGCCAGTAAGCAGTGTCCATCCATGGCCTCTGCATCAGCTCCTAACTCCAGCTACCTGCTCTGTTTTAGTTCCTGTCCTGACTTCCTTCAATGATCAACTGTAACGTGGAAGTGTAGTCAAATAAACCCGTTCAATCCCAAAATTACTTTTTGGTAATGGTGTTTCATCACAGAAACAGAGACCCTAACTAAGGCAGGCACTGTTAATAATCAGATAGCAGAGATTACAATATAGAAACACTGGCTTGGGCAGCCAAGGAAAGAATTGGGGTTATCCTAAAGAAGCTACTTACAGTAGTGCTCTGATTCATTCTTATGTGATTTTTTCCTGGGAAGATACAAACCAATGTCTTTATCTCAGATGGGACACCAATGACTGACTAAGGAAGTAATCACACCAGAGTCTCACTTTATAAACTGATGAGTTTATTAGAGTTACATGCAAGAACTTGGGAGGCTAACAGGTAGCACACCACTGGAAAGTCCCACCCTGCATGGTTGTTCCATGTTCATGAGATACAGTTCTTAACTTCCTGTATCTCATAAGACTTCCCCTCTTCCTCCAGCAGGGAAAGGTTCAGTTTGAAGGGAACAGGAGTGATGATGCAAGGCGGTGGGTGAGGAGTGGATTAGCCAGCTTTGATCCTCAGGACTCTAGGCTCTAACTGACTGTATCTTGTCACAGTATAGTCTGAAAGAAGGAAACATAATTTAAACAATTCATAACTTACTTGAACCAACAGTTATGGAAGGCAGTAAGTCCAAGTGGCTAATGGTTTTCACTGGGAGGTTTTGGTGTTGGCTGTGAGACTTGGGGGAAGACAATTTCTTCAGGTCTCATGTTCCTCCATGTAAAACTGGAATAATATTGAACTCGATTTGAGCTATAGCCTCATTTCAGGCACTGTGCTAAGCACTGCCATCTTTTCCTGTCCTCATCCTAGTGTCGTCATGAGGCAGGGACACTCCATCTTATTCTGCAGCCCAGGGTACAGAAGCTCAGTGGAATGAGATGACATGGATGAGCTGGAACAATCTAAACGGGTGTTTTACGTGGGGCTGTGTTGGTGATTAAAGTGTGTGTGTGTGTGTGCCTGTGTGTGTGCGTGTCCGAGTGTGCATGTGCACGTGTGTATCGAGGCCAGAGTTCAATGCTAGGTATCTTCCTCTGTCTCTCTCTCTCTCCACTTTAGTTTTTGAGAAAGAGGGTCTCACTAAACCTGACTGTCATTATTCTGATACCCTGGCTTTCCAGCAAATCCAAGCATCCTCCTGCCTCCCTCTCTCCAATATGGAGATTACAGGCGTGCACTACACATGTCTTTTTACATAGGTGCTAGGGATCTGAACGCAGGTCTTCATGCTTCCACAGTGAGCACATTGTCAATGAAACCATCTCCCCTGGTGCTGGCAATTAAATAACAGTATTTATTAAAATTTTTACATTTGTGTTTACTTCGGCTGCACAACATACAGAAGCTAGAATGATATGGAGATTAGCAAGGCCCCTGCACAAAGATGAAATGCAAATTCACGAAGTGTTCCTTATCTTATTTTAAGAATAGTTTGCATTTGGAGCTGCAGATATGCCTCAGTGGTTTAAGAGCACTTCCTGTTCTTGCTGAGGACCCAGGTTCATTTCCCAGTATGAACACTGGGTGGCTCTCAATGACCTGCAACTCCAGCTCCAAAACCATCCAGTATCTTCTTCTGGACTCCAATGGCACCAGCACACACGGGCATGTGCACACACATATTCATCATTTTTAAAATAAATATTTAAAAAGTTTTGCATTTTAACGGAGAGCCGTGGATAAAAGTAAGCCATTTGTACTGGTAATGGAATATTCAGTATTATTTTTACCTAATGTTAATAATTTGGAAGCTACTATATTGTTTCATGTTCCTCCTGCGAGTGAAACCCTTGAATTCTCTTTAATATCCTTAGAGGACAGCCTTGTTGACATAACCCAACTTTGAAAGCACCAAGAATCTGAAACATTCAAGCCTTTGCTGCTGCAGCTGGGAAAAGAAAAATATCCAGATGTATCCTTAAAACCCAGTTATGCAAAAGAGAAAGGCATCCTCCCCAGAGGGAAGTCAGCAGGCACGGCTGTGAGAGGAGGGAGCGATTCGATGGTTTCTAATTGTCTACCCCCACTTTCTCTCACACCACTGCTGGGTGCTAGGGGCTCATTCCTCATAAGTGCAGATCTGATGGTCACACAGGGTACAAGCTACAAACTTGCCCAGAATCCTTGCAAAGGTCCTGGGGACACATAAGATCAACAAGGCCACTTCCTCTGTCCCTTCATTGTACCATAGAGAGGGTAGAAAGATACAAGTACAGATTCTGGATCCAAAGGGGTAGTCTGACCTTGGCCATACGAGGTGTCCAGCTCCCCAAGAATCCATTTCCTTGTTGCTAAAATAGGATAACAAAACGTTTGGATTTTGACAGAATCAGTGCATGTTGTATTGCATGGTACCCCTACATGTGATACATGATAGGGCTATGTACATCTTAGCTGTTATTACTAATGAGTATTCCTGGAAAGCATGGCTGGATCAGGCAGTGTGACCACAGCTACAACAAGCTGTCCCTGATCTCCTGAGTCAAGAGCAACTCACGTTCCTTGCCTGACTACTGAGTAGATGCTCAGGTGCCTGATGCTCTGAGGTTCAAAGAGGAGAGATGGATGCAGAAGGTACAGGATAGAGAGGTCAAGGACCCTTGGGTGCAAAGGAAGAAAGGTGCACTGGGAACTAGATGGGGCTGGGGCAGAAGTGCTTGGGAAGCAGACACATAGCAATGTAGCAGGGAAAGGTACTTTCCATTGATCTGCCCCTGAAAAGACAGCCATGCCTCTGGTAAGGCAGGTCCCTGAAGAGTCATCTTCCACCACCCATAATTCTTCAGGTCCTAATGGTATAAAAACCAGCACAGACAATTGAATCATGTCTGGAATGAGACTTGGTCTCAGGTTCCTTCGTTACCTTGATGTATCTTCCCTTATCATGGGCTACAATGCAATGAATGTGGAAATACATTTCTAAAGACATTAAAAAAAAAAAAAAGACAACTCCAGTGTGGCACTTGGTTGTTAGCTTAGTACTCAGGGAGTGAATCAAGAGGCTCAATCACTGCAAGTTCAAGGCCAGCCTAGGCTGCATCCAGGACAATCAGGGGTACAAACAAAATAAATTTAACTAGTGGAATGTCACAGCCCAGTCTAGTCTTCCTAGTGATTACATTAGCCTGTAACTAAGTAAACCGCTAGCACAAAAACAAACTTATAAAGTGTCTAATATCGAAAAGTGTTATGAAAGGGAAAGATAAAATGTGAGTACACTTTTGCACCATCATGAGGTTTAAAAATTGTAACTTGAGAACCACCTTCTATGCATTGCAAGCTCCAGAAGCCATGTGTGTCCTGAGGGAACTGCCCAGTGATTCCAGCGTAAGTTGATGAGACCCCCAATGAGCTCATGTGCTCAGATACGGGATTGTGTTTTTTTCTGGAGACCCAGTTCCTTTCTCCTCTCTATCCAAAGTTATTCCTCTCCTGGGGACTGAGTGAGAAGTTCATTTCAGCATAGCATTGTGAGTTGGGTTTGCATTTTTATTTCTATGCAGTTTTTGCTTTGTCTAACAACCTCTGTGAAGTTACAGCCCCAGCTGAATTTTTGCCCTGGGAGGAATCCCTGTTATTATTATTTTTTTCTGTTTCCCAGTGCAGCCTTTTCTTCTTGCTCAGGACACTTAACTATCTCTCAACTCCCTCTTTCCTGTCTCAGGTCACTCTTGAGAGGCATGACTGAAGCTTAGAGTTTTGTCCTTTTGATAGGAAAAGGACATTCTAAGCTCAGACTAGGTCTCTTCTGGGACAGGCACACAGATGCCACACTTTTTGGGTAATGGTGCTGGAGCCAGCCTGGCTTCATGAACACTGTGTGCTGTATCCAAGGCTAACATAATGACAATAATTCTTGATAGACACGTCATGATCCACCGTAAGTATCATGGAGATGCATCAGGGTTTGTGGGACTTGAACTGGTAGGGGGAGGACAGTGGGGACTCACTGATGTAATGGTCCCAGAGTCCTGGTCACTATGACTCCAAAGTCTAGTTGAACCTAATACTTAATAGCATCTTCCTACCCAGAGGGCAATAGGATGCTTGTTCTTGGCTTGCGAAGCTGCTGATATTTTAATTAATTTTTCCAGGAAAACATTGGCCTGCGGTCCTTAGAAACATCACTTTGCTGCCTGGCCTTGCAAGAATCTGACCTATTTTAGGAAGGCAGCTCACTGTGGCCCTAGGGTTCTTTTATGCAAGAGAGAGAGAGAGAGAGAGAGGGAGAGGGAGAGGGAGGGAGGGAGGGAGGGAGGGAGGGGGGAGGGAGGGAAGGAGGTGGAGAGAGAGAGAGAGAGAGAGAGAGAGAGAGAGAGAGAGAGA